TGGCAGTTTTATATAGCTATTAGCCAGAGGTTTATTGAAGAGTAATAGATCCAGTGGGCTTTGTTCTCTTGGGGTGAAATCCTGGTTTCACTGAAGTTAATGGCAAAGCACCAGTTGACTCCAATAGGGCCAGGACTTTATCCGTAATGTGTTCCACCTACTGGGGCAAATCCTGGCCGGGCTTGCATTCTACCCAATGCCATGGCATGACATATAAGTAATATGACATATAAATAATCTGCCCCAAATGAACCAGCATACCATTTTATCTGTTAACACCTCTTAGAGAGCATATAGTTGAAACCTAATATGGAAACAATAGAAAAGTATATTCAAAATAAATGAATAAAGAATGTGGCTTTTGTCCTAGTCCTACTCCAGTTGAAATGCAGTGAAAGACTCAATTTCAGTGGAAACTGGACTAGAATCTTTAGTTTTTGAGGATGGCATCCAATAAAACAATGCAAGCTTCATACAAATAGTTTTCATAAAAATTTCACCAAACAAAAAATAACCCTCAGCAAATATTTCATATTCAGCAATTTCTACAGAAAGGTTTTACAAGAACTTCAGCAAGATGTGAGAAGTTTGTTTTCACAAGATGTGAGAAGTTTGTTTTCACATCTTTTCATAATGTGTCTTGCCAATCAAATATAGTAAATCTAATTTAGTTTAGCTACATGGCAAACAAAAAATGAGCTTAACCAATTTTAAATAACCCAGCTTTACTTCTCTTATTTTATAATGTGTTAGTCCTCAGAAGAAAGAACAATGTTGGTGATAGTTAAAATAAAGACTGAAAACAAATATAGGATACTTTAAGACCATAGTTTGGGACTGTGAAAGATGACACAGTGTATAAACTAGTACACCCAGCTGCCCTGCCATCATTCAATCAGGTAAGAAAGATGAAAGAGCCCAATGGATTAAGAAAGACGGGAAATCATACATACTTTTTCCTTTAGTCCGGCTGAAGGAAGTGGAGTAGTGGAAATAAGGTCTCTGTTCCTGAGACAGCCCCACTTGTATTATGCTTTCCACTTCCTTGCCTCATCAGCTGGGGGAGGAAAGAAGTCAGGAATGTCTCTAGACCTAGTAGACAGCTTTATGGGGAAGTGGGGCCAGAAGTAATTTTTTTCAGTCTAGTTATTAAAAGTAATTTCTAGCAGTAGGGGGCATGATTAATAATAAGTCACACACCCCAGAATTAAGATTGGCTCAAAAATCATGAAAAATTCTCTATAAAATAAAATATTTTGCATTATTTTTCTTTGCCTTCCAGTGTTTGTGTCTTTATAGTATGCTCCACTCACATTTTCAACCTACTCTCTGCAATTTTGAGTGATAGGGACTTTCTCTTTCTTAGGAAAAAAAAATAACTCCAAAGCAGAGATACTTAAGTGATGTCTTAATGATACAATTGAGTTTTAACAAAAACCCCAAGTATCATCAGAGTTGCAATGAAATTATAATCTCTGAAAATGCTGGATTGGCAGGGATTCGTCCTCTGTGTCTGCCACGCTAACTGGACAGAGGGTAGTCCTTTAACCCAGTGGGCTTAATATTCTCTTCCTGAAAGACTAAGATTACCCTGTAAAGTTTTGAAGAATAAATGGAACTCATTGCCACAAAAATCTATTGGGGAAAACTGATTAGTATGACTGGAAAAATAATTAGATGTCTATAAATAAGAAAAATATCTACATTTGTACTTACTGGGATAAATGAAAATGCTTGTCTATCAGCTGAATGGCAGTAGGGATCAGATTGTAATAGTTTCTTATGAAACAGCATTGTGCATCTTCTTCACTGTCACCAGAACAAATTAGGAGACAGAAATCATAGGGTAGGATTAAATGGTTAATTCTCACCATGGCAAAAGGTTAATTGTAAGGTAGCCCTGAATCCCCTGTGTTTTAGTATATTTAAATATCTGGAAAGGAGAGAGACTAATGAGGTAGCAAGATCTGCAGATGGCAGAGCATCATTTCAGTTTTTCAGAAGCAGAATTACTTTGAGGAATTAAACCAGCTAGGTGATTTGGCAATATGGTTGAAAATGAAATTAGTTGTTGACAAATGCAAAGGAATGCACCCTTTTTGGAAAAATTTAAACTACACTTACCCTGTACAGCTTCCTGAATTAACTGTATTGGTTCAAGAAAGTGACCTATATGCCACTGTAGACAGCTCAGTGAAAGCCTCTGGCTCAATGTACAGCAGTAGTAAAAAAAATCCAACAAAAAAGGAGATATACGAAACAGGATGGTGAAAAACATTCCTTTGTGGAAATCAGTGGTGCAGGCTGATTTGGATTACTGTGTATAATCCAGATTGTTGCAGAGTTAAAAGTGGTTCAAAGAAGGAGAAAAGGATGATCCAGGCTATGGAAATAGTCTCATAGGAAGAGAATTTGCAAATATCAGAATTGTTTACTTTATAAATGAGATTCCTGGAAGAGAACATGTCTCTGCATATGGAATAGTGCTCACGGTTTTGGCTCCGTGGGCCAGATGAATGGCATAGGGCCAGTCCTTGAGCTGGATCGGACCCTGCGCCACCCTCACATACTAGGATCAGGCCCATGGTCCCTGCACTGCCTCCTCCCAACCCCCACCCAGCCAGGATCAGGCTCTAGGGCACTGCTCCTGCTCCCGCTCCCATTCCCACACTGCTCCTGTTTGTCTGGGATTGGGCTCCTGGGCCCTATGCTGCCCCTATCTGACCAGAATCAGGCTCTGGGGCCCTGTGTTGCCTCCACCTGGCTGGGATCAGGCTGCATGCCTCTATGCTGCCTCCACCCAGCTGCAGTTGGGCTCTGGACTGCTCCTGCCTGGCCTCCACATGTCAGGATTGGGTCCCATGCCACCTTGTGTGCCTGATCTAGTGTGCAGGACCACAGCTGACAGGGCTCTCCACAAATCTATGGGGAGCCCCACAGGCCAAATAACATAGTGTCAGGGGCCAGATCTGGCCCATGGGCTGGAGGTTAAGCACACCTGGTCTAGACTGCTGAACGGTCTGAATGAATGCTGGAGACAGATCAGAAACTTCTGTTCTCCCAGGCTCATAACACAAGAACAAAGAGATACCTCATGAAATAAAAATGTGTAAAATTAAAAAGGAACTCCTTTTTAATACAACATGTGATTAAGCTGAAGAACACATTACCACAAGGAGTTGTTGAGGCCAAGAATTTAACAAGCTCTAAAAGGGGATTGGCCATTTATATGGTTGTCAAGAATATTCAGCATTAGCATAATTTAATGGTAGTAAAAATGTTGGAAGGATAATAAACTCTGTGTTTCAGGACTTACACCAATCTATAAATATTAGCAATCACGATAAGCCGTAATTACAGGGCTGATTATCCCACTGCTAGCTACTGCAGAGTTCCTGCAATCCCCTCCAAAGCGTCTGGGACTGGCTTCTGGCAGAGACAGGCTACTGGGATAGATGGACCTTGGAGCTGACCCTATATAATAATTACTATTAAGATAGTGAACCCAATTCCATTGAAGTCGATGCGAGTGTACACAGGCTTTAAGTACATAAGTTACTGTTGCATGAAGGGTACTAGCATATGTGGACCTTTGAAATATTCTTGTTTGAGAATTCAAGCAAGATTTAATAAAAGATTTAGTCATCTACAAGTCAGGAATTGCGGTGAATTCAGGAATTGCATTTGTGTGGAATTCAGGAATTGCAATTCAGGAATTGCAGTGAAGTCAAGAATTGCAGAAATTGCACTTGTAGGCATGTGGCTGCTGAAATGTAGAACTCTGTGTGAGTTATATAGGCTCCCTACACAGTGTACGGGGAAATACAGTACCCAGAAAAACAACATGCTAAACAGGAAGATGCCTAGAACTAGCCAACTGGAAACAGCATAGAGGTATGTCTGAAATCTTGCACCTCTGTTCAGGGTAAAGCCACAGCACAGAATCCTTTCTTGAGAGTTTATGCCTACACCCATTCTTTGAAAGAACAGGTCAAGACTTGCATTTGCTTGCTCTCCCTCGTTCTCTATCTTTCTCTTTCTTTTTTTTTAAAAAAGAAGCACAGCCAGAGGAAAAAGTGGTGTGGCCTTCACCTACATTGTGGTGAGAACATTTGCTCAGGAAGTGGGCAGACTAGGTTCAGTTTCCTTCTCAGACTGAAAGCCATATCTCTCACTTCCCTGGAGAGTACCCTTACCGCAAGGCTTTAAGGTTTTTGGGGGGAGGAGAGGGGGCAGGGATGTTAGGACTTGGCACTCTATTTTTCATGTTGAAGCTGGGCCCCTGTGCAGAAAATAATTCAAGATTCATGTAAGCGGGTTAGTGAGCCTGCTGCCTTGAGGGCTGGCTTTGCTCCCAAAAATGCTCCTTAGCCAGACCTTTAAACACAGGAACACATTCCTTGCATTGAACAAACAAATAAACCAGTAACCAGAAATCTTTAGCCCTTCTCTGGCAATAGAAAGGGCTTTAGCTTTGTTCCAGTACAATAGTATGGCCCCTTCCTGGTTGGAACCTTATTTCGATTTCAGTTTGCCTCCTGCCTGTAAACTGCTCCTTCACCTAGTCTGCTGCCCTCTCCTCTGGGTTTTTTATGCTACAGATGGGATACTCCAGTGTTTCCCAACGGATGATCACAGTGTTGAGTATTCTCATTAAGTAAAAAGCTGAAGCTAACTCTTACCTCAGTAAACTAGAACACCAAATCTGGCTCAAGAGCTGAACTAGTGATTCTTTTTACCTCAAATTGGACTAAAGATCAAGTGCTTGCCACATTTCAGGAGTGTGGGCATTCTACATAGCTGCTCTTAGATGAAGAATTTGAAGACTGGTGGTTAATAGAGCACCCATTGCCATTGCGGTCATAGCATGGGTATTGTGCACAGCAGCTTGTCAGTTGAGGGATTTTTCACTTTTGTTGAATAATTTTTTACTTTTATATACATTGCTTTATACAAATACAAATGAACAAAAATGCATTACTACTTGCCATCACTTTTAGCAGAGGAAAAGAGAAAACTACGAGTCAAATCTGATAAGCAATGGCTTGGAACTTGAAGCAACAAGATCAGTGAGTAACATTTCCTTTATGTGGGCAACCATATCTAAGTTCAGATTTTGGCACCATTTGGATAAGGAAGTGAAGTTTGTAAATTAACTATAGTATTTTTCTTTCTCTTTGTTCCTAGGAGATCAAAGGTTTCATTTTGGTTGCTTTCTCTACTCCTTGTCCAGCAGCCAGAAACCTCTGAGTTATAGCAGGGTATCTGTCATTGACTTGCTCTGTGGCAGCTTGTTTTGCGCCTCCCCCCCACCACTCTTTGAAGAAAATTCTGCTTTGTGCTGTGGAGACACATAGATGTCCTATTCATTTCAGGGGGCAGCACTCAGTCACCTAGGGCTACAAGCAGGTGTTGCATTTGTCTCAGGAGAAACAATTTTCTATGGGACAAAGTATAGTGATTCAGACACCCATGCCCATTGTCCTGGGTTAAGCCCTAAAAGGGTTCATGGGATAACAAGTACTAACAGTTTGTCCCGGGATATTGTGATGTGTGTCTGAATGTTTATCCTGGGATTGCATCATTCAGTCAGTGGTGGAAAAGCAGGACTTCTTTATTCCAGGAAAAACATAGGCACAACATGTCTCAGGACAAGCCTGTTTCTAGCCTAAGAAATACATTAATTGGAATTCTACTTCTCCCTGAGTGTATAAAGACATATGTATCTCAGCAGGACTGCTGACAAAGCAGATTGATATCTACATGGACAGCAGCATTAGGCTTCTCTTCTGCCTCCATGAATAACTTAAAGATTAGAGACCTGAGTTTTAGGCTCCCTTCAGCTTTGGAGATTGAACCCTACCTCGTATGTCCCAGCAAAGTGTCCTAACCCTCCAAGGTATTGTGCAGACATACCTCTGAGTATCTTCTATCTTGCTCTTCTTGCCCACTAGGCAAGACACCTCTACTTGCCCATTCCAGGACATGATTTGACCTTTAGACTGTAGTGGCTCTGATTGCAAGAGAGAAAAATTTTAAATACCAGCAGGTAAATACCACAGTCCTTTTACCACCTGTAAACAGCCAAGCTAAAAACATTTGTCCATAAAATCTGTAAAAAAAAAAAAAAAAAAGTGTGCCATCTGTGACAACATGAAGCATTCAGAGCTGATTGAAGCTCTTTGGTAGGGGAAAAAAAGCAGGACTCAATGGGCTCTTACAAAGTTACATTTTTTATATGATTGGGTTCCTGAAAGTGCCATGCCATAACACATATGCACAGCTGCAGAGCGGTTTTTAAATGGCTGATCACATGAAAAATTAACCTGCCTCAAATGAGGTATTAGATAAAGGTGCTCTAAAGCAGAGCGCCTTAGAGAACATGTGTTCCCTCCAGGGTTAATTTTTCATGCTTTGTAGGGCTGTCAGTGGAGGAGTGGGGAGGAGGAGAAGGGAGCAGCATGGAGCTGCTGGCTGGGTTTGGCCAGGCTGGAGTTGGTGGGTGGAGGGGGTGGAACAGAGCCCCCTTGCCTCACGGTCCCAGCCCAGCTCCGCACAATACCCCAGACAACTCACCGCCTCCCTTCACTCCAGCTCCACCCAGGCTCTATGCTGCTTCCCCTGACTCCTCCCTCCCCCGCTGATAGCCCTGCAACTGGAGAGGGGAGCAGGGCTGGGGAGTGAAGTGATTCAGCAGCCTCCTTGGAGGGAGCAGGCTGGAGCATCCCTGCCTGCTGTCCAGGGCGGGTGCAGGCAGGCTCAATCCCCTCAACCCAACTGGAGAACATCTGTGAGGGGAGTGGGAAGAGAGTGCTCTAATGCATGGTGCCAGGACTTAGAACAGGACCCCCAAACGTCTATAGGCACCCAGTGTTGAAACACAGACAGAGCACAGCACCACCACCAGGTGTCTGAGAAGTGAAGCACCCTAAAGGGAACTCTTCTCAGGACTTTGTGGCTCAAGAGATTCTCTGTACCTCCTTCCCCAACCCCCAGCCATGTGCTGGTGCTGTTCCATCCTGTCTGCCTCAAATACTGTGGCAGGCAGTGGGGGTCCATTCCAGGATGGGGGGAGTGGGGCCAGTGGGTGTAAGACTAGGAGCTGGACTGCGGGGGGGGCAGCATGGTGCAGGGTATGGTTGGGGGGCTCAGGGTGTTCGGGTAAGTAGAGGACCTCAGTGTGGTGTAAAATGTTTGCTGCCATCAAGTAGGATTACCAATCTAAAAACATTTTTTTTATTGATAATCTGAAAACATTTTACTGACAACCAAACTTTTTTATTATGGTTTAAATTTGACTTTTGCCCAGGGTCTGGTAGAAGGGTTACATTTACGTTATGTAAAACCTGTCAGTCAAAATATGTGTCGGTACAAAAGTTTGCAGGTTGTCATTAGGCAGACAAGGTTTGTTGGGTAAATGTGATATCTTTTATTAGACCAACTCAGTAGTTGGAAAGATTGTTCTTTGCAAGCTTTTGGGCACAAACATCCTTCTTCAGGCATTGGAGAGAGTCAGGTTGTCATGAAAAATTTGTCTTGGGTTGGCAACTCTGGATACCAGTCCAATACTGAATATGCTGCAACATGTGTGTGTTGTACTTTCTTTGCAGGTTTTGATAATTCTGCCATGCTCATGGACCAGAATCTTTTTAATAATTATAGAAATGTTAATAAATGATTATGCAGAAGGCTTTGTTAAATTACTTTGTAATATTTTACAGAAATGTTACCCTTAAAGCAATGATTTGGTAGTATTTTAAAAATGCCATTCTATCCAGAACGTTCCCAATGCCTACCTCTACCATGGAAGTGAATGAGATGTTCACTATAATGGAAAAGGAATACAGCCTTGAATAGGTCTTCCATGGGCTTTAAAAGGATGGGAAAAGCTTGTAGTTTGAAAGATTTTTAAAACTTTTTTGATTTAATTTTTCACACAAGTATATTTTTAATATGATTGCCTTTTAGGTCCTGGATGAACACCTTATTTTTGTAAAAGTGCATGCACCTTGGGAAGTGCTATGCACATATGCTGAGGTTATGCACATCAAATTACCTCTGCAGCCCAATGACCTGAAAGCCCGAGATTCAGCTTTCAACTGGTTCAGTAGACTCTTCAGAGTGGATGAAAATATCATCAAACCAGAGCAAGAGTTTTTCACTGCCCCATTTGAAAAGGACCATTTGTCTAACTTTTACATTCAGGACAAAGACATGTTCTTCAACCCTGCAACCAGAAGCCGAATTGTAAGTTAATATAAAGGCTTATTTGCCTAAATCTGTTTATTTCTATTTCCAACAGAAGCAGCACAACCATCATTGCTACAAAAAAAAAACCCTCCCAAAACCTCATTGGGAGGTGCAGGGGAATGGGCCCGGAGCCGAAGGGGTGGGGAACGGGCCTGGACCTGGGGGGGAAGAGGGAGGGAATGGGCCTGGACCCGAACTGGCAGGGAGAGGAGGGGGAGAATGGACCCGGACCCAAAGGGGGGGACACCAGACGTGGGATGTGTCCCTGCCCACCCGTCATTCTTGTTGGGCAATTTGCTAGTAGAATATAAGAGGGTACTAAAATTGGGCAAAGGCCCTGTACAGTGAATTTCCCCCACCGAACTTCTGTGACTATGCTAACGTGGTTATCCTCTATATCAGGCATCAGCAATCAGTGGCAGGCTGCTAAAACAGAGCTAGCTCCACAGGTGACTGCTGAGTCTTAGCGGAGTGGCACTGCCAGTGCTGCTTCCCCTGCTGCCGCAGTGCTACTGCTGTAACTTCCCCACAATGCCTCCTCCCCCATCAAACCATGCCAATTTCCTGCAGAATTGCCACAGGCATCTCCCACTGCTGAATCGCCCCAGGTGCCTGGACTTCACAGGCTAGATCCAGTCACTTGGTGGGCTAGATCCAGCTTGTAGGTCATAGGTTGCTGACCCCTGGTCTACACGGATTAATTACAAATTGTAAGAGAGATGAGGCTTTTTTTCAGGTTTACTTTATTCTTTCCCGCGTGGAATATGAAGTTAGAGGCAATGTGAAAAAGTTTGGTATTAACAAACTATTGGACTCTGGGATCTACAAGGCAGCATTTCCTCTTCATGATGTAAGTCTAATGCTTGGAACAATTCTTTATTGACAAATGCAGGAATGAATGTTGAGGGCATATGTATGATTCCCATACAATGTCAAAATGCATCTGGACATTCTGGATGATTCCACCTGTTCACTGACTGTGAAGCAGGGCTGGACAAAAATCTCCCTTGAAAAATTTTCCTGTGGAAAATGGGAGGCTTTAACTAAAGGTTTGCTGTAGTTTATTTATTTATTTTTAAAAAGCATCTGCTTTTCTCCAAGAATTTTGATTATTCACAGAAAAATCAAGTTCCCAGAAGCCAAAATTTTCAGCTGAAAATTCAAATATTTTGCTTCGAAAATGTTACCTATGTGTTGCATGAGGACAAGGCAGTATGACTGGGCACTTGGTTCATCAAGGAGAACCAGCTACAGTTCCTGTGAGGCACTTCTGGCAGCATGTCAAAATCAAAGGGATTTTTTTGGCTTTCAAATGAAATTATTTGGTATTTAAATTTCCATTGGGGAAATCCACAAAAAATGACACAGAAACCACAAATTTTTCTACAAAAAATTAAACTAAAATATTTTTTTCTGATTGATATTTTTTGCAGATTCCAAAGAGCTCTCTTTGTAGGGCATTCCACCCATTTCACAATTTGGTTTTACAAACCCAATCCAGACCTCCACTTAGAGTGGGACTTGTGTGCATCTTTGCATGAGAGTCTTTTTCAGGGAGTGCCTTGAGTCTAACAAGGGATCCCTTACATCTGGAAAGGCTGAGAACCACAGGCTTAGTGGGATACTCGTTTTATGTGCATTCTGTTTTGCAGTCTTGTTTCAGGCACAAGTCAGAGGATCCCAATTGTCCCAGTGAACGATATCTTCTGTATAAGGAATGGGCCCACCCTCAAAAAATTTTCAAACTGCAGCCGTTAGATTTTGTCAGGTGGGTTTCAATTTGATCAGTTCAATACACAGGGACCTAAAAAGTCACATCAAATATTTACTTTTTGGTACATTGAGGATTCAGGGTTTGCTTATTATAGACATATACTTATATCAGCCTATACATTTGATCAGGCTCTGTTCTTGAGTTTCTGAGATATAGGTACATGCATATGTAACTAACCAAAACTGAACTTCTATAACAAGTGATCTCATTTTTGGAAACTACATTTGGGAAGGAGATATTCTATGCAAGCATAAAAATGGTACATATTCACAGATATAGTAAGTTACACTTTGCAATCACACAGTGCATGCTGTAAAAATATGAAAACGGAGTCTGGCTCACAATATTTGGAATAGGAAGCTATTTGAGAAAGGAATGTGGAGTTATTGCATCTTGAAAGAGTATTTTTCCTCCTCACCCCAACAGGAAATATTATGGAGAGAAAATTGGAATCTATTTTGCTTGGCTTGGTTTTTACACTCAGATGCTGTTACTGGCAGCAGTAGTTGGACTTGGCTGTTTTTTATATGGATGCATAACAAAGGACAACTGCACATGGAGGTACCTGATGTACAGTTCAAACATATTCTAATATATACAAAATTTTGAGTATGTACTTAAGAGTGCAGAGTTTGCTAGGCACTCAAAAAGGTACACCCTGTTAGTGCAGAGGTTCACTGAATTAGCAAACGAGCACTATTACAACAGAAATGACGAGTATGTATAAAGGTTGCAAGCACATTTTGGGGCCTTTTAGCCCTATGCCCCTTGTTCCCTCTTCTTCTTTTGCTCTTTTTCCCTCATTTTTTCTTTTCTCATTGTAAATGTTCCTGCCTATACTCTTTGTTTATTTTCTTCTGCCTAACAAAAAGTAAGCAAACAAAGGGCCATATCATGCCATCATCTTTTAAGATATAAGATGGATGGTCTGTTATGGCCCAAAGGCTTTACAAGTCAGAATTTACAGAGAGATGCATGTCAACAACAACAAAAACCAGCATGGAAGAAAAGGGCAGATGAGGAACATAATTAAAGCAACTAGAACATTAAAAAAGCTTCAGAAATGTACTGAAAACAATCTCTAGCTTACAAAATAAGTAAAAGGAAATAAAAAGAAAAGCAGAGACAATCAGACCCTGAAAAAATAAAAAATACAGCAGAGCATCTGAAACAGAATCAAATGATTAACATCTGTTGGGAAGCTAGGACTGTATGGGAAAGAAAGGGCTAATTAAGAGCCTGCTCTAACAGTTAATCTCTGAACTGACAGAACAGGCTCCTTTTGACTTCAGTGGGTGGTGGATCAATCCTTGCAAGAACAAAAATCAAGTTAATGGAATAACTAAGCTGGAGACAAAATGAACGTGAAGGATAGCAGAAGCTGGCTTGTATCTGAAGATAAATATGTCATGTGGGCAGATGAGTAGCAGACATGCAGAGAACATTATGCTGATTCCTGTGGAAGATTTTATTTCCTGATTTTCTTTGTACTTGCACATATCTGGGCAAAAATCCATATATAGTGTACAAATACAGAACAAACAGTGAAAAATCTTAGCTTCAGAACAAGTTAATGTAACGTGTCATTTTAGGTATGTTACTCCCTAAGGGAGAGTAAGAACTTTCTCATCAAGTGTTTTCACATAGGGCAGGTGGGCCTGTTAAAACAAACATCTTAAAACTGAAGGTGCTCAGCTGCTCATTCCACCTTTTCAATAGAAGGAAAACAGGCAATCTGATGACACGGATGTGTTAGAGACCTCTACTCCTCCGTTATATCCTGGAGAGAGATGTTGACTAAGGAGGGGCTACTAGAACCAACTTATACAGATCCCTACTCATAGGAACATTAGGACAGATGAATGAAAGAGGCCTCCTGAGTCACACATCCAGCTTCTCTACTGTCACAGGCAATATCACTATATAATCTCATTCATACATTAATCAACTCCTTAAGGCTAGGAGGGTTTACTCCTCTATGACACAAAAACAATGGCTGGGAATTCAAATGGTGTTTATAACCTAAGTTTAATCTTGAACAGTTTACACTCCTTGTGCTTGTATAACATTGTCCTTTAACTTAAGTCTCCCTCTCTAGTGTCTACCGTCCTTGATGTATTTATAGAGAGCAATTAAAAGTTGTATCAAACACTGTTTTGCTAAACTAAACAAGATAGTCCCCCTTTTTGTCTCCTATCATGAGATCATGGAGGTACCTGATGTACGGTTCAAACATATTCTGTACTAATTTTCCCCACTAGGCAGCTGTGCTGAAACAGTTATCCTGGGCATAGACTGTGTGATGCAGTTATGCTCCTTCTGGTTTGGAGATGTTACACATGGAGCAGCACAGCATGTTTAAGTAGAGCACCATCCAGTACCCAGTCACTGTTCTTTCTGTCATCCTTCTCTGTACCTGTCAATTTGGTCCTCCTTTTTCTTCTGTAGCTAGAACCATGCAAACTACTTCTGCCACTTCTAAGTAGTTCTGCAGTCTTTCTATAGCCTGGCAGGCAGAAGCCCTGTTTTTTTCATCTACAACCGTCCCCTCCTCCAATAGCTCTATTGAAAGCTGTGGAAAGGGGTAACAGAGGGTAATCTGCCCACAGAATATTTGTCAGCTAACAGAGTCACCCCAAAACCTTAAAAAGGAACAGTGCAATTAAGATTTTTTACTTGTTTTATTCTTAAACTGAGCTACTTTAGAGCATACTGCAAAGCATAACAGCAGATATTTCCTGCTGTTCTGTATTATCTAATGTGCAGTAAACTGAAGGCTAAGTATGAAAATGGGGGGAGGGCCCAAAGTGTGAAAACTGTGTGTCAAGCAGTTTATTCCTTACTTCACCTAGTCCTCACACCATCGACAAGCCTTGAAGAGAGCTTGGCTTTATGTTTGTGTGAATGAGTGATTTTATTTTTAGCCAAGAAGTGTGTGATCCCAACATAGGAGGCAATATCATAATGTGCCCTCAGTGTGATCGAGAATGTACATACTGGAATCTCACCATCACCTGTGAATCCTCTAAAGTAAGTTGTTGTTTGCAGCCTACCAATGTGTTTTGTAAGTTCAGTTACAATAACTTTTATGTTTTCACCTGTACTATTTATAGGTAAATATGTCACAGTGTTTCCCAGTCTGATTTCTGAAGAGTTGCAAGAACTGTGCAAATCATTGATATTTTTTTTAATTCAGCGGGTCAACTGAAAAGTCAATAAATGAATTTCAGCTGGACCCTTAACGAAAAAGTTTTGGTTTTTCTCATCAAAACAAAAAACTAAAAATACTTGGGTTTGGGTGAAATACAGCATTTTGTTAAATCTAAAATGGAATGTTTGGCTTTACTCTATTTACATGAATGAGATTTCCCCCCCAGTTATCTGGCTGAACCCAGACCTGAGCAGCCACGTCCCTAGGCTGGAACAGCTCATTCAGTTGGAGAGGGGGCACATGGCCAGGGGGAGTGCAGGGTTGGCTGCAGGGTACAAGCAGGAACTTGCAGCCTGTCCCCCCCACATTCCTTGTTCCCCTTCCCCCCCCAAGCCTGTGCCTGCCCTCTCCCCCTTTAGCTTCTGCTTTGGCTTCAGTCCCCACAGCCCCAACCCAGCCTGGTCAGGAGCTGCTGTCACTTCTTCCTAGCTGGGCTACAGCTGTACTGCTTCTGACTGCCCTGGAGGAATACAGCTGCAGCAGAAGGTAGGGGCAGGGACAGTCAGGGATGAATTTAAGATGACCTTCCACTAATTAAATTGTATAAATGAACAATTATAACAAATTTATAATTTTCCATGTATAGAATCTAAATTTTGGTGGGTCATCTTAAATTTGAAGTCATCTTGGATTCCGGTATATATGTTATATTTTGGTGTGTTTTTTACTTTTATTCTTTGTATCAGTTAAATTTAGCTGACTTAGATTTCAAAAGAGAATTTCCCAATGACAGCAGGCCATTCTGTTTAGAAAATGAAAAAAAAAATTCAAATTTTTCTAGTTTTTCTCCGATTCTCATTGGATGGGAGCAAATCACAGTTTCAACTGTTCACTGAATTTGATTGAAGTGTGCAACTTGTTTTAGCCTCTACAAAGCTTCATTTTTAACTTTTCAATCAGATAAACTGCTGATTGGGAAAACTTCAGTCAATTCTAATGATTTTTTGTTCTTTAGCACAGGAATCTAAAGGGGAGAGGAAGGTAAAATAATAGGGAAGGGGTGTTGTAAAAATAGTCAGAGGATGACCCCACCTTCTGTTAGTCTAGAAAGGTGCATATCTACCCTGCCTTCTGCCCACCTTCTGTTACTTACCATATTGAAATAATGTTCTCTTATTAACCCAGTAGATTTTTTATCATTTTATATTTTACTACTTCTAACGTATGTATAAATACATATGTGTCAACTGAAATGTACGGTCTTCAGTCCAGTAAACAGATGGTGTATTGATACTGGGCCATTTTTATATTCTTTTACTGAATATTTGGGTCATATTTTGATTTAGTTTTTTTCCATTTATTTATTGTGGAGTGGTTAACATTAGAAAAATGCTATGAGAAAAGGTGGAGATTGCTTATTAACCGTATAAAAGTTTAAAAGATATCATCAAAATATGCAACAAGTAACTTATCTTCTTGTTTTGTATAAGAACCTCCCCCTCCCCCCCAGAGTATTATATATTAACCCTCTACTTTATTTTCAATTCTTTCTAGAAACTCTGCATGTTTGATAGCTTTGGAACACTAGTGTTTGCAGTATTTATGGGAATATGGGGTAAGTCATTTTCAAGGTTTTCCTTTTTAACTGTGGTTTCTTCATCTCATTTTAGCCAAACCTACAGCATCAGCTAAAAATGTGGCTAAAATTTTACAACTACTTCAGTGTCTAGTGTTCAGCAGTTTCACTGTAGGGGAGTCACCACCAGACCTATGCATGCCCCATAATTCTTTCTAGCAAAATAAAAAGGGTTTCTTTACAATTAAAGGGACAGATAGTAATGTTGTTTTTCAGTTTTCCTTCATTCTGTTAGACCTGGAGAAAAGCAAAAAGAGATTAGAACTTCCAAGTATTGATCCAGCAGGAACCACATGTTTGTGTGTGTCTGGCAAATGAACTGTTTTTCTCCCAAAGTGTCTTGGAAATGTCTATGCCTACTAGCAGCCGTATGAGTGCAGCAGGCAATGGAAAAACAGAGATGGTTATTATATCCTCCAGTAACTTTTTCCTTCCTTCTTCATTTAAGTAACTGATATGCTAAAAATACAGTAGTTATACTCTAGGGACATCTTAAGGCAGGCTAAATGTCTCTTTAATTAGGATATTTCCACTGACGAAGCCATTTGGTATTGGATTCAGTGGACCAGGCAAAGCTTGTTTGCCCAGAAACTGTCTCATTTCACTGGATTGTCCATATTAGCAACAATGAATTAACTTTAACCGTACCCTCTTAACCAGGGGACAAACTTATTGGTGGTTAAGAATAACAATGACTTAAACGCTAGTAAAAGAGTTATGAAAGTAAGTTTTATGTTAGTGGTGCATGAAAAGCAGTGGACGGAAGACAATTTGAGTAACATTTTTTAATAATATACATAAACTGACAAGAAATTGACAAATTATGATAATGAGACATTATTTTATAGTAACTGTTTCTTTAAATGAATTGTTAAATTAAATATAATATTTTTTTTCAAAAGAAGACTTTTTCAAAGATGTGCAAAATTCAGGATACCAGCAGGAAATTCCCTACATCAGACTTAGAGCATCTTGATGTTAATTTGGTCTTTTCATTGTTGTTGCGATAGCTTATGTGTAATTTGCATCTTAGTTAAAAATCATGATTTTCTGTTTTGTATTTTATTCCAGAATTTATAGTTTGAAAGTTAAAAGCTCCATAGTTACTATAATGGCTCCATCAGTCTATTAGTATTCATATCATAAATCCATTTTATACAGAGGTGAATGATATTTTGGTAGCTAAGTGAAAACTTTAGTGAACCCAAATGACCCTTGGTTCTGGTGCTCTTTAATTGCACTTGTCATTGAATTGTAAGACTCTGGTATAAAATAACTTACAAAATGTTGCATTTTTAGATGTATTAAGTGTACTCCTGCTTTATGTTTTTTCAAAGATCTCAAAGCACCATAAAATATAAATGAAAAGCCTCACAGTACCCTGTGCAGAGTAGCATATCTACATTACTTTGAACACAGGGTTAGACTAGATGATCTGCAGAGGTACCATCTAACCCTAATTTTCTATGACTATGATTACTAACCTTCTGCTATTGTAGCAGTGTCAATAGAATTCCCTCCTGGAGACACAGTGTATGCCATTAGGAGTTTGTTTGGTTTTTTACAACATATCTAAACCACTGCCCTGAACAACAGAAGCTCTGCCAGCACAAAGTTTTGTTAGCTGGGGAATACCGGGATTTTCATATTTGCAGCCAACATAGCTATGCCAGTAGAACTTGTAGTAAAGGACACATGCCTGAAGTAATATAGTAAGTCTGATGCAGAGACAGGATTGGAATTTGGATCTCAAAGTAATTTATTTTAATGATTAGAAAATGCCTCTTAAGAATAAAACATAGGCAACAGATGGGTCATAGCTCCAAAGCCTGAATGGCACAGAACAGCTGGAAAGATAAACTGGATAGGAAATTGATGATGACCTTCGCATAAGCCAGTGGTATTCAACCTTTTGGTCTTGCAGGTGAAATGACTGGCACAGGGCTGGTCTGTGGGCCAGATTGAGTGCCTGCACACTGGGATTGGGCCTCAGGACCCCACACTGCCCCCTGTATGGCCCTGCACAACTCTGCAGCATGCAGGACCAAGTGTCTAGCCTACAGAGTTCCCCACGGCCAGGATGATTTGTCTCCCAGGGCCAGCTTTGACCCGAGGCCAGGGGTTGAGCACCCCAAGCACAAGCAGATCTTCCAGTGATACACAGCATATTTTATGACCCAGAACCTTCCCTGACTGCTAGCACTGGGATAGTGGCAGGGTGAGGGGCATAACTAGGATGGGTCTAGACTTCAGTATTCCCCATCTAGCTAGTTCTTGAGGGCCTTTTGCAGCTGTTGCAAATCATAGCTACCTATACACTCTTTTAGTTTATCCTGGGGACCAAACCCAGTGGAAAGATACTGCAGGAGATTGTTTCCTTTGGTGTACTGGAAAGGATAGAAAGGCCCCTTCTATAACTTTTTTCACCACCTGCTTGGAATGAGTTGTCCTTGTGCTTAGCAGAGAGCAAAGGGACTGCTCCTGTGGGAGGTCTTTCATAGGTGAGGGAGGAACAACTCTCTTTTAGGCCTATGTATTGGTGCAAGGACCATATTCAGTCTAATCCATAGAGCTTTCTACTTAGTGCATGCTTGATTTCAGTATACTCACTGTAACTAATTTTGGAAAACCTGGTGCAGGCATGTACTGAGTAAGTATATATGGTAATAAATGGATGTTAGTCTTTTCCCTGTGGCAAATTGCTAAGGTATTCTTTTTAAAACATCATTTTTTCTTTGATTAACCAAAAAACTCCTTTTCCTTTGCATCCCATAATAAGTTTTTTTCAAAAAAATCCCACAATGTAAAATCCAAGTTGCTCATATTTTTTACATATTCATGAAAGAAAATAAACTTCCATGCATCTTCAGCAGGTGCTTATACACCATTCATGCAGAGGTTTATGTCATAATAGTACCTACATAATCAAAGCAGTAATTTGGTAAAGAAAAAGATCCTGTTATTTTCTGTCTCATAAAGACTTAGCAGCATCCCACTAGCCAGTAAAGATTTTATTCCATGTCTGCAGAAAGCGATATAGAAAATTAATGATCCACATATTACAGCCCAAGAGGTCAAAACAGTGTACAGTGCACATGTGATATAGCTCTAGTTGTTTGTTGTTTGGTTAGTTACTTTGTTTCTGGAGTTTTGGAAGCGTCGGCAGGCTGAACTGGAATATGAATGGGACACTGTTGAGTTCCTAGAGCAGGAAGAACAAATACGGCCAGAATATGAAGCACGATGCACTCACATAGTAATGAATGAAATTACACAGGTAAGGAATGTTTTTACAATTAAGCATAGCAAAAACTATCACAAAGCTAGAAATTTAAGGAAAAACCTCACAACATGATAAGCCAGTTGTTCAGTTGGTATAAATCAGAATTACTTCAACAAAGTCAGTGAGTTGAAGATCTACTCTGGTAGCTTGATTTACCAAATAGTATTGCACAACACTGGACGTGTCTACATGTGCATTTACACCAATTTCCTGTGCAGTAGGTAAGAAAAGGCCAGTGTCTACACATGTAGGTGTTAAAGCACATTAATCCTGTATGTGGACTGACTTGGGACTAAACTTAGTCCCAAGTCAGTCCACACACACAGTGTTACTGCGCAGTAAGGCATCTACATGTGTGTTACTGAGCAGTAATTGATCAGGCATAAATTTGATACCTGCATGATGCAGGTATCCAATTTACGCTCAAGTCAGCATAAGTTACCATATTTACTGCACAGTATGGGTGTGCACGTGTAGACACGTGCCCATACTGCTCGGTAATTTCAGTTACTGTGCAGTAAATGCACAAGTTTAGACACGCCCACAATGTATCAGGTTAAAATGGAAGGCCAGAAATCAAATTTACCATTGCCAATGGCTGTGCTGATCATTGCAACCTTGGGGACTGATAGATTTCTGTAACCATGATACTATGTAAGTGGGATGATTTAGTAGTAGAGAGTTTCCTAAAAGCTAGCAAGACTTCAGTAACAAGCTCTGGTGCCACAGAATAGTGCTCCTACTCCAAGTTATCCATTGGGGTAGGAATTTTTGTTGTGAGAAGCCCACAGTGGTCACCAGTTTTCTCAGTTATTTGCCTGTGGACATGTCAGGAAAACAAGATTGAATGCAGGATAAAAAAATTGTATTTATATCCAAAGATGTTTTTGGGTGAAAGGAGTACAAAGAGGTATTGTTGCCAAGCATATGTGGATGCTAATAAGAGAGGTAATAGTAAATTCACAGGGAGATGATAATCCTCCTTGCAGTGAAAACAGGATTCATATTTATGAGTATCTTAGTTTAGATCTCTGCTTATTACATATTTTTAAGTAGCTCTAGTTTTAATGGATCATGCCAGATCAGGGTTAGTTTCACATTTTTATTAGTTTTGTGTTAATACATCACCACAGCATTTATTTGATTATTTGCATTTCTTTAATTTTCTATCCATATTACATTAATGTGTATAAATAAATAAACTCAAGGAGTTCTGAAGCTAGCCGCATATGGTAACAACCTGTCCTAAATGACTGATTCTTTTATGTCGTGTGCTATCTTTACTGGACAAGGATAATTCTTTTTGGGTATTTTAAAGTGTGAAGAGGGAATCCCTTGTGGTTCAGTGGTAGGATCCTTGTCTACCACACAGGAGACCTAGGCTCAATTCCCAGACACTTATACATCTACAGCCACGGAGGCACCAAACATCTGGACTCAGTCTGGTCTTTGGATTCTGTCTCAGTGGCCTAAAGGGAGGATGGAAGGTCTGGGTAGCCTCCACTTTTCCAAAAAAAATCCTGCCAAGCATATGCATCGAAGGTCTCGGTGGCCCTCATGCACACACCATGATCCAGGAGGATCAATAGTTGCCACAAATTGTGAAGAATTTTCTAAAAAAAAAAATTCTACTAAGTAGCACATTTCATTTGAGCATTTCAAGCATCTTTTAAAACATTGACTAAGTCTCATACTGCCAGAGTGAGGCTGGTTTAAGTCCAGATTTTCAGTGTCCACTAATTTTCACTGAGAACTTTTGGATGCCAAACTTGAGGGGATTGGTTTTCAGATGGGCTGAGCAATTGAGCAGTAGATTCTTGGATCCCTAGGTGTCTCAAGCTGACAACCAAAGCCAGTAGACATTTGTTTGAGAACTTGGGCCTATTCAAACTGCCATGGTGACATAGCAAAAATCAGGTCTGGAAAATGAAACTAAGTCCTAGTCTTGTTCTTCTGTTCTAAATACTGCAACATGACAAACAAATCCCACAACAAATATATAAAATGTGTGTGTGTGGATATCTAACTATATAGATATCTATTTCTATGTATAGATGCTCATGTGTATGAGCAATGGTATTATTAATCTACCTCTAAATTGACTTTCTTTATAGGAAGAAGAACGTGTTCCATACACAGCCTGTGGAAAGTGTATCAGGATGACCTGCTGTACAAGTGCAGTCTTTTTCTGGGTAAAAATGCCATTGGTCTTTCATCTGACAAGCTTTATTTTTCAGAGCATTTAAAAAAAAAAAACAAACAACAACCAGTGAACTAATACATGAACCTATGAAGTGACATAGTGGTCAGAATTTTCCAATACTGTGTCAATGCTGGAATTGAACCCATGAAGCATGTACATATGTGCACAAATGTTCATCAATCAAAATACTGTTACACAGGCAAAATAGATAATTGTGAATACAATTCCATACATATGCATAGCAAATTTTGTAGTTATCATTGATCAGCTGGTTTGAAAATGCGTGTCTTTTGTTTCTTCTGTCATTATTTTCAGCTAAATGCTCTGCTGCTAGGTGCAGCAAAGAGACTGGTTTTAGGGATAGATTTGGTTGCACTCTCCTTCCTCCTTGCCAGTTTATTTCATACTTGTTCCAGCCCTTCATTTTAGTGCCACGTTGCAGACTACTGGGCCTCTTTCAGCTTTTTGTTTCACTTAAAAGAGCAAAGCTGGGAGTGCTTTAATCTTCCTAATGATGCTCCTTAATTAAAACTAAAACTTGAAAGAATTCAGTCATCCATGAAACAATATGTAAGATGGCAAACAGGCCCAAAGCAGCCACTTTTAAAAGCTCCATGTTTTAATATACTGTGGGTTCCTGTACCCAAGCACAGAGGCTGCTCCGAGCAGATTTGATTAATCGAGTGTGGTAATTACCGTGCTCCAGCAGCCTCCCATGTCTCATGCATCAGTGTCCCCACACTTCAAAACGGTGGTGGGGACACTTGAACTAGTTTGAGGGCATTTGAACTAGTCCCTGCCACCATCTTGAAATGTGGAGACACTGATACACGAGACACTGTGGCACTTTACTTACAGCGGCTCTTGGAGCCTCTCTAATTGAAGTGCTATCCCCCTCATCCCTAGAGCACATGTGAAAATGCCCTGTGCGCTCCTAGAGCTGCAACGTAAACCATAATTAGAAATCATTACAAATACCAGGGACTAGTGCTGGGGCCCAAGGGTGATAAAGTTCACTGGCTGGCCAACACAGAAGAGGCTGTGCTCAATGTTCCCACAACTGGAGCAGAGTAAAAAGAACACTGGCTGGCTGCTGGCATTAAAAGGGCTGGCTCCAGATTGCAAGATCTTGTGACTTGTTTGCGGAATTTGCATTATTAAGTATCTAATAGTGGTGGCCAGTGGGGGAGGGGAATGGGAGTACATGTCACTTTACAGAAATAATAGGAGACACTCCTTGCTCCAAGCAACTTACAATCTAAACAGCTTGATAGCCAACAATAAAAATAGAAACAGAAGAAGTAGCAGAGGTCACAAAACTGAAGGGAGGCATAAACTAGGGCATCATAGCACCAGAAGACTCTGGCAGATATTAGATTTGTGGTGCAATTAAGGTGTTAAATGCACCACAAATAGTAAACCTGTTATATTTACTGTATTATCTCACCATACATTTGCATTAACATGTATGTGGATTCACATGTATTGTAGAATATTTTTGTGGTTCTTTGTATCACACATTAAATTGAATATGTGGCATTTGGAGCTGATTCATGATAGATCCCAATGCTCACCGGAGCATGAGGATCTGGCATTGGGCAGCCCTAGAGTCTGAGATATAGCCATCCCCTGCCTAATCAGTAGGTTTGGGCTGGTGGAGCCCAGGACCTGATTGGCCCTCTAATCTCCAGAGGCAGATTTGGGGGGGTGGCGCTGTGAGGCTGCTCCAACACACTTTAATTACAGCATGTCAGCGCAGATTCGATTAAATCGAGGCTGCTGTAGCATGGTAATTACCACACTTCAGCAGACTCCAGCATCATATGTACCAGTGTCCTCGTGCTGAAAGATTGCGGCAGGGGTGCTTTAATTAGAGCGCCGCCATTTTTCAGTGCAGGGGTGCTGATACACATGATGGTCCAGGTAATTTAATTAGAGCAGCTCTCAGAGTCACTCTAAATAAAGTGCCTCTCTCCCGGAGCATGTATATAAGCACTTTTAGAGACTAACTGGTTCAGAGCATGAGCTTTCATAGGGAACTTCATCAGGGA